GTCCAGATGTACCGGAATATTCCGGGCTTCCGGAATTCCGGGGGACCCCGGAATGTCCGAGGTCCGGGGTCCGGATCCGGTCCGGCGTAGCTATGGTTTGAGCTTGACAGCACCTTCTTTTGTGCTGCTGAGCGGCTTCTTCGACAAACCGTGGGAATTCCCATGGGTAAATCAACTAGCCCGGCCTTGGCATGTCTGCTGTGCGCACATAATGAATTTGTCTTTCTCTCCGCTCTAGGTTCGGATTCCCGTCTGTTCTGTGGATTTCGGCTTGGCGATGATGTGTCTGTTTTTGCAATCTGTAAGAAGGAGTCTGTGACATCCAGATATCATGGTCTCTCGATGATTGAAGAGTTTCCATCCTGCTATGATGACAGATTGGTTCTGGAGAAGACTAATGTGGGTAGAAGCTGGGATTTTTGGGGTTGTCTTCTCACTATATGTAATAGTTCGGTAGGGCTGGGATTGATTGCCTTGCATAAAAACCAGCATGGGATTTGCAATCATAAGCTTATCTTCCCCGAGTATCCAAGATTTCTCTTCCTACTCTAGCAAGAAACAAAAGATGGCCGTCATTGTGTCTTTTGTGCACCGTGCAAGAAGGTACACCACGGTGGAAGGTGCGGAGTTACCTTTTCTCTTTTCACTGAAGGTGGAGCTGTGGTTTGGGGGTTATCCAGATGACTGTTTTGATCCGGCACTCGTGAATTTCTCAAGGAAAGAAGCTGCTTGCTGGGACCATTGGATACCTGTGCTTACTGGGTGGGACAGGTTGTTTGGGACTCGATGAGCTGGTCCGGCTGGCCAAGTTGGGGCCCGTGTGTAGGGCCCGTAGTCGCTTCTGGTCTGTTGCTGATACCGGGACTCGAGCTAGGGTCCTTTTTACTGTTTACCTTTTTCGACTGTCTAACCTGAGAAAAATATTCTATTCATGGGACTTGATCTCGTTTCCAGTGGTGTACGGTATAATGCTGCTTTATTGGTGTAGTACTTAGTACCCTGGTTATTGATTTGCTTTTCATGGCCTCGATCTTAGGTCTGTCTCGCAGTGTTTTTCTTCCGACGGTCTAGCTTGCTCTCTGAAAATTCTTGATAGTTCTGCTCGTCAGACTTGATCTCGTTACCTCTGTTGTAGGCTGTGATGATTTTCGGTGGTACGGTCTTAGAATCCTTTGACGATCTCGATCGCGTCACTTGACTTTTATAAGAAGGCTGTTGAGCCAAGTGTTAGCTGTTTGTAGTAGAGCCTGGTGCGTAGTGGTTTTGGACCTGTTTTCGGTTGATATCTATCTCGTGTAAGTACCTCTATTTTTGGCTGTGCTATCACTAGTCACCGAAGTCTTCGGAGGCAGTTCCGTCTTCACACGAGATAAATAGTTTCACCTCGACCGTCATTACAAGCGACTTAGACCCCTGATGAGTGCTGGTTGGCGGCCAGCCGAAACCGGTAGGGTCACTACGCCGGATGGACTTCGGTCCTTTTGCCGTCCGATATTCATGTTTTCTAAATTGGCGGCAAGGTCGCGTTCGGGAGTTTTGGTTACTTTTACTCGTGTCTTCTTCTTCTTCTTCTTCTTCTTCTTCTTCTTTTCCTCATCTTCTTCTTATTCTTCTTCTTCTTCTTCTTCTTCTTCTTCTTCCTCTTCTTCTTCTGCGTTGTCATTTTCTTTTTACTCTGTCAGCTCCCCTTCTTCATTGACCTTTGACTATCCCGGTCGTGTCAAGTCTGGTTTTGTCCCTGCCAACTCAGTTCTGCTTCAAGGCTTTTACATTGCGAGTGTTCAGTTGCTTCGGCTATTGACACACAGCCTCTACAACAACTTGGGCTTTCAGAGAAGAAAAAAAAAAGGCCGAGATCCCACTGGCAAAGAGGATTGTAGTAAGTGTCTGAATGTGGACGTGTTTGTGGACAGGTGCGAAAAATTGTGATTGATCTACTTTTCTGCACCTCTGCGTGGAACACTTCCAGATTCAGACACTTCTTCCAATCCTCTTTGCCAGTGGGATCTGGCCCTAAGAGGCCTAGTTGCACTACTCGCCACGATCAGTGGCGAAAGTGTGGCGAGTGAAAACGTACAAAATTGTGCACTAATCGCCATCCGCCATGAGCCGTGTTCTGAAATTGTGCACGCCAGCCCTCCACAAAAGGCAAATTTCAAGACAGGTTGGGGGCAGTGATGAGTATAATCTGGAGCCTTTGTCTGCAGGGGGGCAGTGCGGGCAAGAAATGCGAAGATCTTTAGGGGAGAGAAAATGGCACTTCAACAACAGATATCACTAGTCAAAGAACAAGTCCGGTTATCCATTGGCTCAGATTGGCGTGTCTCCAAGGGCAGAAGTGGCAAAATCTTAAGCTTTCGCCACTCCTGGGCAAAGAGGAGCATTTGGGCATCAGTCTCTACAGAGGGACAATTGAGCATTTCTAAGTGGCTGCTACCAGGCAGTAGAGTTTCTTCATAGGTCATTTTAGACCGTTAGGAAAAAAAAAAAAAAAAAAAGAGGATTGGTGGGAATACTTTGAATCCTGTTTTACAATGTCAGGCCCATGTGCAAATTTGCAATCTGAACCGCAACATTGGGGCCTGGGCCTGCACCCTGTTTTACCCTGTCTGCCCTCCATACCGGGTGGCCAACTTTGCCCAATACCCAGGCCCGTCGGCGGGGCAGTTTGCCTCCATGTTCGGCAGC